TTTTGCCACACCATACCTTATTTCCTAGGAAAAAATTAGCAACATTTATTCTCATGTTAAAAACAAACAAACAAACAAAACCGACTAAATAAACAAATAAACAAAACAACGAAATGGCATAGATACAGGAAGTCAAGACTGCTTACATAGGATTGTCCAAGTATACCTGCTGGGCTTTCTGGCTTTGTAAAGTTAAGAAGAAAGCCCAATCTATCTCAAGCATGGGAATGGGAATGCACTTTTTTTTAATTGCTACTAAGAGCAGTATTGAATCATTTTAATAGTTTCTCTCAGTCTACAAAATATTTAAAGCACAAAACATAATAATATAGTGACCTTATTTAAATTTTAAAGAAAGCAAAAAAATATCTGGTAAATATTAGGCCACCAACCTGCTATGCTAAATCTTTTTGCTTCTTGGCCTTCAGTAAAATAAGCTCAGTGGTCTAATGCTCTACTCCCCTGTGTACTGTGGTCCATCATAAAATCTTACTTTAGCACAACTGGCAATCGGTGCTTACATAAAACAAAAGAATAAATTTCCAGGCAGAAAAAAAGCTAATTCTGCTCTCCAAAATAGCTGATTCTTTCAAAGCAGAATAGATATTACCAGAAAAACTATAAGAGACACGGGTAGGCCAAAGTGTGAACTCAGTACTTGTGCAGGTAACCAACCATACTTAGATCCCCATTCAACAGAATAGCAGACAAACACCACACTAAAAGATTATCCTATGTAATCACTGTTTACAAAATAAATCCCTGTTTCCATCTAAACAATGTAGAAAGTTTAAATTATAATATGTTTTCTACTGCTATTTGGCACTGTATTAATAGGGTGACCACTTTGCTTGACCTATTTGCTGAAATTTGCTAGAACTCCAGGAGACCATATGGATAGCCAGATGGGTTGCTGTAATTTAGTGCCATTATTCTAAGGATAAAGTAAGAAATCAACATAATTTGCATTCTTTTCCATCGTTCCTGCTTACCTTTTATTAGTTTCATTTTTAATTCAGACATCAAAAGAAAAGATAATACCTTGCTACCAAGGCCCAGATGCCAACTAATTACTACAAGAGACTCCAGCCCTGACATCACAGGCCAGGCCTGAGAACATGCTCCATCTTACTCAATGACCCCACCATAGTGATTAATAGGTTGAGCGCTAAGCCCTAATGAGTGTGTCAGATCTTAAATGTTCTCCAGGCTAATGTAATTAGCATTATGTTGAACAGAATATTTCAGTTGCTTGGTAGAGAGTCATTATACTTCATAGTAAGTGATGTGCCTTTTCACCTCAAAGACCTCATATGGTCTTCAAATTTATAATCATCAACCAAAAAGGCCTCTCTAACATGAAGATATTTCAAAACCTACAGAGAAATATGTAAATATTTTTCAATCAAGCATTGATGTTTTCTATAGCAGTAAACCCATACATTATACATAAAGTGAGATGATTTTCAATATACTTGTTTAAAAATACAAGTTTCTGGACTCTACCAACAAAAATTCTGGTATGAGGGGGTTGAGGATAAGGCCTAGAATTATATATTTTTATCAAGAGACCCTGTATTCCCAAACAGAAAAATCTATGGACTGCCCTTGGAAAAAACACTGCAATCTGAGTAGCAGAACTAATAACCTGCACTTTAGAGTAACTGAATCTATCAGGCTTTTTTGTTCTAAATGGTTATTTGTGTTTCTGAAAAAATCATGCACACTCATAACAAAGACTGTTTTCACATTGGGATTATAGCTTAAAATGTGCAAATTAATTTTTTAGAAGATTAAAAACTACCAGGATAATACATTAATTTTATTTCCAACAAGCCATGTAAATGCATGAGATCTAGATCAGATGGTAGATATAGCAGTTATAACCATCTCTACCCACTAAGCAAAGAATCTGAAACTATATTTCCAGTTTTAAGGGAAAGAAAAAAGCGTAGCAAAATTTCTGAAATCCTCAACTTTCTTCCATGATCACAGATGACATACCAAATGTTTTGGCCATGATAACTGAGGAGTTTGGAAAATACTCCAAGTACTAGGATCTCACCTAAATATTACCATCATCAATTACTACAAACTAAATATTTTCACATGTTTAGCGTTGCTTTCTTGAACTTCTGGAAGCAAATATCTGTCAATTTTTAACTTAGATGAATTTTATTCATCTACTATCCTAAATAGTTTAAGGCAACTTTTTAAAAATTTGTAACTACCAAACTACCATTTTATTTATGAATTTCAAGAAATCTTTTTTGGACCTTTTTGAGTTTTTACTATACATTTTAAAAAAGAAAATAAATGTATAAATAAAAGGAAAAAAATTATTTATGACAAATATAATGCAGGTATTTACTTATCATTTCATACCAAGTTTTAGTGGTTTGAGGAAATTAAAATTATATTTTATAGTGATTTAAACTCATATCATTCTCCATTTCTATGATGCTTTTATATTCAGCCAGGGAGTATAAGGCTGTCATATGTCCATGGCAAGTCCATAAACCCATTCTCCTTTTGTTTATGAAAAATGATTGGTGAGGTATAAAGTTCAGTCCAGCAATAGCTGGATGCATGCAGCTCTGAGTTTTCCTCTGGAATGCTGGCCTTTCCCATAGTCCCTAAATCTAGGTAGGGAAGTTTTAAGAGTTCTGACCCATGGGATGTATGCATAAATGAAGTTTATGATCATCCATGCTGTCTACCTTTGTTTTGTCCAGCAAACAGAGAAGATTGAAAGAATAATCTACAAAGACTTATAATGGCATAGCCACAAGATGAAACACTGCTTGAGTAAGAAATAAATCTACCTTGCCTTAAGCCACTGAGACTTTGGGTTTGTGTGTAAAAAATTAAGTCAAGTCTTAATTTAATAACATCAATTTTTGTCTCACCTATAAGTTTAGTCATCAATTTGGACAACATAAAATTAAGAATATAATAGGACCTGAAGTCCAATTAAATTCAATAAACTGATGTTAAGTCACTTAGAAGATTCTTTTTACATTGTATTTAAGAGGGGGAGGGCTAGGGCTGTAGATCAGTGGTAGAGCGTGCGCTTTGTACATGTGAAGCACTGGGTTCGATCCTTAGCACCACATAAAAATAAATAAAGGTATTGTGTATTTAAGAGGGGATTGAAACACTACATTCCTTTATATTAACAGCTTTTGGAGCTCAAGTTAAGATGACTTGTGTGTTTTTCTAGCAGAGCATTATGAAAGAACACCTACCCTCTGGCTGAAAGAACAAAACCCAAAGCACAATATTTCTTGTCCTTTTTCATAAAAAAATACCATTGCTAAATGCTTACAGCAACTGTACAAAAGAGATTCTTAGAAAGGGTTTTAGATGCAGATTTTCTTATTGACATGTCCAAATAGCATTCTGAAGATACCACTTGATATTAAAATAAAAATACATCAGTTTAACCTACGTAGTCTCATGCTGTATCAATCTAAAATTATTGATTAACAAAAAAATAAAAAACACCAATATCAACATATGTGTGTATGCCCACATCTCACACACACACACACACAGTAGGATTATTTCAGGATTTTTTTACATTGATAGTGCAATGAAAAGATAACATCATTAAAATTAATTATTATGTCATTGAACAAATGACCTTGGTGGATGTAGTACATAAGTCACTACATTGCAAGGAAGGAAAAAACATTGCATTGGGCTTGCAGAAGGCCTGGGTTAGCTATGGCTCTGTCGTTTTCTAGATGAAAAGAAGAAGATACGAGAAAGGCAGAGAATACAGTGATTAAATATTTGAAGTACCACTTTTATCAGCCACTAGTGAGATGTTTGACTCAGTAAAGCTATTTTATCTCTCCATTTCTTCATCTAGAGAGAGAAAATAACATTTATTTCATAGGTTAAGAGGATTAAGTCATACCCTGTATATCAAGTGATGAGGGAGGCCTTGGCTGAAACTAAATATTAATAAATATTGGGCAAATAGCAATAATGTTATATCTCTGTCAGTAAGAGCCACATCATCTTTACTTCTAAAATTTAAAAAATGATACTAATTTATATGATTTGTTTAAATTCTTATATTCTGAGTCCATAATTGTATCTTGCAGTTAAATATCCATTTGGAAAATGAAAACTCTAAAATCCATGTATTTTAAGTAATGGCTTTAAAAAAATTTGTAAGTCAGTCTGGTCTGCTAGTGAGACTGATTTAAAGATGACAAGCCACATAAAAATGTACTAATTCCATTTTTTTTAACATTCAGAAGTGAGATGATATTTTGATATATTCATTATTCTTCATGACTCAAACCCATCATTAAAATATAGAATATAACAACATGTTATTAGGCAACCATTTAAATAAAAAATATGTCATATTTAATGAGAACAATAATAATAAGGAATTGTTTCTTACCTGATTCTGAAAGACTCCAGAATGTGAATAACACTCCATTTTTGCAGTGTAAGGTAAAGTATTTTCAGGGCTTATGAATTGTCGGCAACTTAAACAAGTTTCCTTCTCATTCAAAAAAAAAAAAACAAAAACATTTCTCCCAGCTAGACCAATAATAAGAAATGATACCAACACTAGTGCAGCTTTTATTCCAATCTAAATAGAAAAGTATTTACCTTGGAAATCTCATAAGTTAGTAAATTTTGATTTTTACAAATAAATTTTCATTCAAACAATGCCAGAGGCTCAAAATGAATAGTTTTAAATACTGGATTAAAATCATTTTAAATTTCTTAGTAATACTTTTGATTGTTTGTGACTGTACCATGAAAACAGGGCTTTAATATATACCAGGAATCAAAGTGTGAAATATGATATATCAAGAAATATGTAATGTTTTGAACAACCAACAATAAAAAATTTTTAAAAAAAGTAATATATACCAGGATACTGCATATAAATCACACAGTAGAACTGTGGCATGAAGGAATTGTTTTCTTAATCCAGAATTCTACTTAATCCAAGACAAGAACCTTACCTCCTGCATACATAACAGCCAGCATAATGGATGATATCCATGCGATTTCACTGTACGTGGTGTGGAATATTTGCTGAATTTCTTTGAAGAATACTGTGACGGCTTTGGGGAAGGCATATGAAAATCCAATGGAGATAAAAGATGCTCCAACCACAACCCAGCCCCATCCTCCATCAGGAGGTGGGTATAAAGGTGGGGAACTTGGCATTGGTGGCATTTCGCTCCTGTATTTCAAATTCAAGTAACCTATATACACACAAAAAAATGAATAACAGTTTAACCTTATTTGCATTTTTGTATGTCACTCTTGCTAGTTACTAAAATAGTACTTCCCAGTTACAACTACAATACAATTTTTCATGAATATTTTATACTCATGAATTCAGAAAATCTATGAAAAATAATATGAAGTATATAACCTGGACTACTATAAACTAAAAATTGAAAGCATTTAATTTACGGGACAAAAATTTCTTGAAGTGAAGTTAAGAATTTAGATCTAAATCAACCAAACAATAAAAACTATTTCAATTTTATTTCCAAACATAAAGAAAATGAAACTGCAACCACTTAAAATACTTTTTATATTCAAAATATTGACTTTAAAATTGTGTATACAAAGTTTTCAAAGGACTAGATATTAAATACAAAGAATTATAAAATATTTAATAGGCATACTCTTGAAGTTTTCTATTTTTAATAAGTGATAGTTTGTAAAATCATTTCTGTCTGAATCTGTTTTCTAAACTAATAAACTAAAAATTATATGCTTCTGTGGAATTATACTAGTTTTAATATACTTCCAGAACTGGTGCTACCTACCATTTTATGAAAGATACATAAAATAAAATCTCCAAAATAAATTTGTTTGTTGAGGCTTTAGAACATCCACTTTCCCATGGAAGAAAGTAATATAATATTAAAACTACATGATTAAATTAAAAATATTTGGTTCCCTAGTTTGTTGGTTTGTTTTTGGAGAGTGATGCTGCTTGCTTAGTTCTTGGAAATATACAATTGCCACTACTTTAAGTATCTTCTTTAGACTGAAATAAAATATCTTCTATATGTAGATATTCCTTAATTGAAAGGTAAAGGGTAAATCAGAAATAAGTGAAAAAAAAAGTGCTAATTTTGCCACACATTTTCAGAAAATCTAGCTTGTAAAATGACCTATTGTTATTTCACTTTTGGATGATTGTGAATATGGTCATAACTTTCTTTTTTTGCCTAAAAATTCATATTTAAGGTGCAAATTAAGACATTTTAATATGCATATACAGAGTGAACTGATCGTTACCTTCAATTTAATTAACATATCTCCTCATATAGTTACCATTTTTCATTTCTGTTTTTGTTTTTTGTTGTTATTGAGAACACCTAAAAGCTACTCATGTCACAAATTTCCAGAATACATACAGTATTATTAAATATAGTCATTGTGTTGTACATTATACAGTAAACTTATTCACTCTTTAAACTTTAAACTTATTCAGTCTTCATAGGGACAGTTGGACGATTTGGATGTTAAGTATCTCCTAAAGATTCACATTGTAAAGGCTTCATTGCCAGCCTCTGGTGGTAATGGGAGGTGGTTGGACCTTTAAGAGGTGGAGCCAAGTGGAAGGAAGTTAGTCAGTGTGGGTGTGCCCTTGAAGGAGATATTGGAAGGTTCCTTTTTCTTTTCTTCCTGGCTGCCATGAGGTGAGCTTCATTGCTCCACCATATATTCCTTGTCATATGTTCTGCTTTACTATGGACTCAAAGCTACAGGACCAAGTGACCAAGGAGCCATGGGTTGAAGTCTCTGAAACCATGAATCAGTCAAAGCAAACCTCTCCTCCTTTTACATTGATTTTCTCAGGTATTTTGTCATGGTGATGGAAAACTAACAAATAAGTAAATAAAATAAAACACTTTAACCACAAACTGTGCATACAATGCATATCTTGATCAATCATGATCATCAGGACAAAAACACTTCTATCAAGTTAATACTTTATATTAACTTAATATTTATCAAAGATGCTAAAATTTTCAAAAAGCAACCCAAAATACCACAACTTATCAATAATTATTTTTTAAAAAATATGATTGTTAGCAGTATATTTATACTCTGCTTTTATAATCATTTTTCTTTCTTGGAAACAATTAAAATTATCCATCTTTTTTCCTATAGTATTTATTTCTCCTTACTCATCAATTTATAATACATGAGGACTAGAAATAATTTCTTTAAAAATCATTAACACTAAGGAAAAATAAAAAAGAAAGAGGTGGATTTTATGTATTAGTTAAATAAGCTAAAAATGGCAATTGGCCTTTGAAAGTTGTCTAAAGAATCTGAATCAACAGATTACTAAATTTTATTGTATTTTAAAGTATCCAGTTTTCTTACTGCTTGTCAATGGAAAAAAAAATTATTTTTGGAGAAATACTGAAGAAATACCAAATGACATTTGTATGGTAACTACTGTTTATTGTAGAGTGTAAAAACAATTAACAGACTTAAAAATGTTATTTAGTAATTTTCCTGCTTGCATAAAAGAAGCTAATCCACCTTTCATTATTAATTCATGAGTATAAATTTTTGTAGTTTTTATCACATCTGCTATAGTAAACACTTAGAAATTCAACTGGGTGATTCATTTTTTTAGTGACTTCAAAAGTCATAAATCCCAGCTAGATGCGATGGTGTATGCATGTAATCCCAGCAGCTCCAGAGGCTGAGACAGGAAGATCATGAGTTCAAAGCCAGACTCAAAAAAAAGTGAGGTGTTAAGCAACTCAGTGAGACCCTGCCTCTAAATAAAAATACAAAATAGAGCTGGGGATGTGGCTAAATAAAATGTGGCTAAGTGCCCCTGAGTTCAATCCCTGGTAACCCCTCTAAATAAATAAATAAATGGTAGTTGAATTTGAATGTGAAATGTCAGTCTTTTTGCTAATACTGAATAATTTTAGGGCTTCAGAAAAATAACAATAGACCTTTTTAATATGATGCTTTCTATGTGCCCTTCCAGATTACACCTGCTCTCTAAGAAACAACTATTCCAAATTATATGAGAAGCTTTAAATTAATCGTATTTATATTTTTACAATATATGTATTTGTGCATGTGCTATCTAGTGTATATATTCACAAACTCATATGTAATATATGAACTAAATATTTTATATTTTATGTAAAATTTTTATTATAGAATATATATAAGTCCAACAGGCAAAATTTAATAGTAATTTAATGAAGGCATTATATATAAATCTATGTTTTTATTCTATATATTACATACAAATACTTACACATTCATAGATTCATTTATAAGTATTCTCAGAAATAGATTTTTGATTTAATATTATAATTTTACATGTAGACAATATTCTTAAAGGTTTTTTAATCTGATGTTTTGGAGTATAGAGGATTCTTATTATTCATTGGAGATATGTTCTATGATGTTATCTTGAACCCAGTATTAGCAAATTCTGAACATTTGCTTGTAGAGGAAATATGGGATTGAGTTTATATGCGACTCCAATCACATTTTCATCAATCAATATATAACCTCATTGATGTGTATTTCCACTTAAAGATGCATCCTTTAATACATACTGTTCATGTATTAGCACCAAACTGAAGGTCAATGGCATTGTAAATCATGCCTGAATGAGGCTTATCTAACACAAATGTTTTCTCTGTAAGGTGTATCCCAGGCTTCTGGCATTGGGGAACATCAGAAGCACTCTGGCAGGTCATTTTAAACTGCAAATTCACTAACAAAGAGGCATAAAAATGTAAAACATGTGGCATTAAGTAGATTGCACAAAGGTTACATGGTTACAGTAGGTAACTGAAACAAGAAGGCAGAGTGGTGCCTGGAATTTAAAATTTAAAAACATGAAAAATGGAGATGGTAAAGAAAAATAAAATCACCCACAGTCCTAACACTGAACTAAACTATAACAAATATAATTTTGTTGCAAAATTGGAAATGACAGTTTCAAGTTCTATCAAAATTCAACCTACCAACATGTAACCAATAGAAAAACAAATAAAAACTTCCAACTGGTTTATGTATTCATAAATATTTTCATGATCAGATGATGATTCTTCTGAATCACTTTTTGAATAATAATTTTCAATGATACTGAGATACTTTCCCCTGGAGTATCAAGAGCATTTCTACAGAGTGCCCCATCAATATCACCAGCAATTTCTTTCAAGCTACTCAGGATATTTTACATTTTGATCCCAATATTTTCTTGATCTTAACAGAACGTATCAACAGAAGATATTAAGGAAAAATAAAAAAGAAAGTAGAACTTATATTTCTTTATCTAAATGGCAATAAAAGGTTTATTGACTCAAATATGAAGGAATTAAAATTGACCAATCACCAATTGACTATGCACCAAATTTATATATGCATACAAGACCCTGTCATGATTGCCACTTTGGCAAAACTGATGGTAATATGCCACCCAGTGCAAGACATCCTCACTTCAAAGATGTGAAGCGATGTGTTTCTTGAAATTGATGAAATAATGAATACAGCAAATATTTACACTTTTATATGTATGTTCAATATGTATTTTAATGTATATAAATTTAATGTACATAAATAAATGTGCTACATATAGATACATTTCTATCATTTGAATTTCTCATTTATTATTTTTAACTCCTAAATACATAGCTACATGACCAGTTTTAACAGTATTTTGTTAGTTACTATTGCCCATGTAATTTTGCTAAACCTAGGGATGGTAGATTGTTCATTGTATCCTGATATTCTAAATTATATTTCAGTAAGTACTTTTTCCCTGCACTTCTTATTTCAATCTAAACCATAGGAAAATATAGTTTTTTCTCCAAATTTCTCATTCTTTCAATTAATAATTTTGAAACCTCTATAAAATTGTTACCTTCAAATAGCATTTCTAATGGTTTATTCAATGTATGTCTTTGCCATTAGTCCAAGATAACAAGCTGTTCACTGTATCTCAAGTTCTCAGCATTGTTTTTGATGTGTAGTAGGACACTTTTAGTTGTAACTACTTGTGCTTGGAAAGAAGTTATTTTACCCATTGTACCACCTGCTGTAATTTTCTCTCTGTAATTATAATTTTAGCTTTAAAAATGAATTTGTTCACTTCCAAAAAACAATGAGATATAATCTGTTGTTTTGCCATAAAATAAGTTAAATATATAAACAAATAAAATGTGGGCCCACATACATTTGA